ATAGGCGTTGAATAATAAGAATAATCAAAGCTTTACAGCCAAATAATATAACGAGCACCTGAAAATCTGACTTGACATCGCAAATACCTACCATATATCCTTACGAGTTAGGTTACACGCTTCCATCAGGGCTTACCATTTGCGAAGCAAACAATTAAGAGAATCAATTGGTTCGCTAGTCTAACCTCAATTCTAATTCCCTTGATTAAGACCTTGTTCATTGTATTTTTTTGCATTGATTGTTACTAGTCCGGCGCAGTCACGTAAGGCTTCTGCCTGTCTCGGTGGGTTACGAACTCGTACGAAAGACAATTCGGATCATAACAAATCTGCAGCATTGCTCCAGGTCTGCGTTGCAACTGAATAGGGGAAGTATGGCAAGTACCTTGCTATCATTTCGCCAACTATGCATGTTTTGCCAGAAAAGGCCTGCGTCTGAGCGAGCCCGTAACCTACCGGCCGATAATTTGGCCCCTGAAGCCGATCGTTATTACATTGGAGGATAATTCTCATTTTACAGGGTTAAGCGAGGAAAACCGTGTCGTCACTTGCCCGCTCGGTCTAAGGAGGATCTTCAGTGCAGCAAGACGTTACAATTTTTACCTCCCCGAGGCTCTTGTCGCCATCATATCACTTCACCGCTCGCTTGAGTAAAAAATCAAGGCCGGATCGGATTCTTTGAAGTTAAGTTTAAGGGGGGGCTTCTTGAAATCTGCGCAAATGATAGATCTCTATACTCTCTCCCAAAATTGCTGACTCGCAACCATCTGATTTGATTCCAGCGAGGGTCATCTGGCTTTAACACGGTTTGATTAGTTGGATACGGGTGTGTAGCTTTCAACTACTGGGCTACGAATAGATTAAAGTGACTAGTTGGTTGTCATTGGTATCTACCGGATATGAATCTTCTATTTGAACTGAAGCTCAGACAGACAATACCTGTCTCACATCCGCCGCCCGATATGAAGGATCAGGAGCTGTTCGCACCACCTTGATTGACTTATCTGATCGTCATTCGATGAGAGACTAGTGCAATTATACCTGGATGTGACATAAAAGATACAGGCCTCGTGGCAGTCTCTATTAATATGATCGTCGGCGTGGCTCAGTGAGGCGGGAAGTTGGGCTCCTTCGGCTTCTTGACTACACCATGAAGGGGCTGGCCTGTCCCAGTGTCTTCAAGTTTCAGGTTGGTCCCATGCCTAGATATCATTAATGATCCTCCCCGGATAGGATTGCCTGCACATACGGTAGAATAGAATAGAATTTATTTTTATTTATGTCCCTGCACATACGGTATTCTCACGCATATCCCAAGGATCGCTTGAGGATATGATTTCTTTAATTTGGCCAAGGGCCCTTTTTTGATTGGAAACGGCGTCTGTATATTCGCGTTGTGAGAATTGTTATGCATTGTTTTCAATTTTTCCTTAACTAAGTAGTGGATGCGCAGTGAACGCAAGGAGCCTGTGTAGACCTCTCCTGCTTACTTGAAAAGTAGCATACACAAGTCAAATTCCTAGAAAGAATACTAATACCGCCATGCGACCGCGTGGGTATCTCCCATTGTGAATTAGTATTTTCAAAAATATGTTCGAGTGATTATGCGTATTTCGGTTGAGCTGTCTGGTCGAGAACATATTCCAATCGACGTTCACTTGTTTGCCGAGTCTATAGCCTCTGAGTGGGCACTGATGAAACACGTCGATCGAATCATGCCAAGAAGCTTGGTGGTGCAAGAGTACTGTAGTGGGAAGAACACAGACAGATGAAAAGTAAATTAAATCGGATCAAGAATTTTAAACGGGGAAATTGGCTTTGCGCGCACAAGCAATAACGCACAAACACTCACATGTCCGAATCACTCAAAATGAACTCATTCAGTGGACTCCTAGCCTCTCTAGGGTATGGATCGAGGGTTGCAGAAACAATCTTTTTGGATCGGGGATGTGCTGGATTGATCTGCTTGCGAGTCAGAGGGCTCTTCGCTCTTTGGATAATCTACAGCAGCCGTTATTATAAGTGCCATATGCTATTGTCAGCGAGAAGGATGCGGGATAGTTGGCGTATGAGCCGAGCATAATTTCGCCGCCACCTTCCCCACCATACCAGCGAAGAAGTTATACTGGATCGTGTCCGCCCGATGAAACATTAAGACCCGCCCATCATTTCCAGCATGTTCATGCCCCTCCGGTCTGATGGATAGAAGGTTAGATGTTGTCGGACTGGGGTCGGCGATCGTCGGCGGGTAGGGTATAGGCGGGACCGGGAGACTAGACACACGTGAGCGGGCCGCAGAGAAGTCATGAGACCACTGATTGCTGATGATGATGATGCATGCTGGTCGTTGCTGTCGAGATAGCGAACGTGACATGCGCTGATTTGGAACCTGATCAGGTTGAGATTGTATGTTGCCGTCGGTGTGTTTCTTGATGATTGGGCCGTCTATAATCTCGCGTTCAGTTACTGGAAGAGCGATAGCAATCGTCAAGTGGCAGGTGAAGGCGCGCGAGCTAGCGGGGAAACAACCAAGAAAGGGCCCAGTAAGTAGTGAGTTGACGCGTCGCTGACCAAGTCAGGGTTATGACGCAACTTACCCATTATGGTCTAAGTCGGCTCACTACACCATGGATAATGTGATGAAAACTTCGACACTATCCTTTCTCTCACTCTATCTCAGGCCCTTCCCCCACAGCGATAGTCTCATACTCAAGTACTAGTCTTTCCACAATACTATGACCGTAGTCAAGGTTTTCCTTACGATTTTACTACTTTTGCCTTCACACAGAACACCCGCCCGTTCGTCCCAACGCGCATCTTCCAGGTCTCCCCGGAGTTTGACCCCCATTCCTGCCTAAATGACTTTATAGCCTCCTTAACGTGCGAAGACCTACTCACGGCCCGTTCCCTTGTCAACAAGCCATTTGGATTCGCGAATCGAGTTATAGGGGACTCGTATCCTATCATTCTGATGTCCCGCAAGTCGGCAGGACTCGCATGGATAGCGAGGCAAAAGTTAGCGAGTAAAATAAAGCCTGACGACCCATTGTTATGATACACTGCGATCCTCAACCCCACAATATACTAAAACGACCGGGTCAATGGCGTGCAGAACCTATTTAATTAAAACTGGGTGTCTGAAGCTTACCAATAGATTATAGTTCAATCCTCTTGTTTCATGCAAACCCGCCCAAGATTTCGTCATTTTCATCACAGGGCACCTAGCCGATCAGTGCTCAAGATTACAGTACATGATAACGCGTCAGCCCAGTAGCCTTGTATTAATGGATCTTGACAGGACAGATATAGCACTTCTCCATGGGCAACGGGGAAGCTGAAACATAAGATATCTGCTTAATGCAAAGGATCAAAGGATCAAATACTTGGTTCCAGCGGAACCACTAGTTTGAGGAAGTTGACCGAAGAGTTATTCAGACTGGTTTCTTCACGATGCCGCAGTGCATGTGATTTCCATGCTCATTGAGCGGTGAGATGAGTGAGGCGTAGAGTAGAGGAAGTTGGAACAGCAGTATAGGAAGTAATAGGGCAGGTACCGGTCGGACATGACCCTAAGGTCAGCTTGCAAACGGTCTACACAGCGTGAAAACCCAACTGTAGCAGCGTTGGAAGGGGTGTAGAAGCAGAATTTCCTGCATACGGAATGCTAGAAGGGCCCGAATGCGTCAAAAAACTGTCGTGAGTTGTGGCGAAACATGATAAATTTTCTCCATGGCTTGGCTATAGCCTGACCCCGAATTATCATGCCACTATGAGAACAAGGTCCTCCACCATAGTAGCCATGCAGAACCAGTAACTGAGTCGCTGTTCACTCCGCTATCGTGCAGATCATGTTTCTACCAATTCAGTTCCCGCTGCGTTGTTCCGCTCCTCCAAAAAGTGCGGGTCAGACAAGTCAGCAGCCCATCTGCTAGCGATCTCCTGTCTAGCTAGAGGAAGTGTTGCCAAATAATGAAGTGTTGTTTACTCGACTAGTCGGCTGCGAGCTAGATATTTCTTGTCTCTCTTATAGGCAATGGATATTCCTCCGACATCGATTAGGATATGATTGACCTCGTTCAACGGTTTACTGTCGATGGATAGTATTAATAATTGTATGACAGGTAGGGGAATGACTGACCGACTGACTTTATTGTGTAAAGTTCGTTTTCCAGGCATTCGTACCTCGTGATCCGCCCATGCCAAAAGGAAGTAGAAGGGTTCCTTAGGAGCACAGCTAGTGAGAAGGGGAATGAGGGGTATAGCAGCGCGGATGAGAGTAATGCTTCCAAGGCAGGTTCGTTTGAAGAGCATGTTGTTAATTCCTGCCTCGATTACAAGGTCAAAATTGCATGCGAGGGCGAGGGCGAGGGGGGCTGCCACTTCCAACTACTGGACAGGGGCATACAGAGAGGGCGGGGCTGGGAAGAAGGTATATCCCAAAATCCCGAATTTTCTCCTTAGTAGGATTGTGCCCTCCAATCCCATCCTTTATCCTTCGCTATTCTTCCTTACGTTCTCCTTCAACGTTCTCTTCGCACCCTCCAGGTTCGCGCGCTCCTTTTATCGGGTCATTTCATTCAACAATCTCAATCAATTCCTTAAATTATCTTACCTAAATCACGTTGGGCCCGAACTGGGACCGTTAATTGTCGTTGCCAGGTCTGCTGCAGCAGTTAAGGTGGATCAAGTTAGTTCAGGTACCTTTATAAAACTACCTGAAGCAATGTTATAAACAGAGAACCGCCTCCCTATACCTACACCTCTCCTCAATGTTACCTGAACTTAGATCTGGTCAATCTACATTTTCGCATCCAATCAACTTGACTACTACTACCAGCAAAGATAGAGAAGCCATGTGTCCAATATCTAAAATCTAAATTTTATACCGAACCATCCTCTCACCTATTTGTCGGCTTCATCGTTCCTTGGAATTACCTTATTCTCCCAAAGTGCTATACACGATACCTCAGCCTTGTCACTTTCTCCATATTTCGCCAAAGATGCTCTCACAGCAGCATTCAACAACTCCATCATTGGCTACGTCAATGTACCCCAGGAAAATACAGACATGCTTCCCAACCAACGACAATTCCGCTGCTTCACCTGTCACAGCTTCTGTGGTCAGCACCTCGTCTGTTGTTACAACAAGCTCAGCCCAAGCTTCGCCTATCATATCTCCTAGTTCCGCTCAATTACTGACAAATAACACTTCGATTCAATGTTCTCCTGATGGAGCTGGCAGCCGCGATGACGACTTCCATCTCCTACCATTCGAGCTCTCTGATCCTATCACAGCTTCGAAAGCAAGCCACAACGCCATGACAGAAGCCGTAGCTTACACAAAATCTCCAGGGATTATCAGAAGGCTATCAAACCGAGCTTCCCAATTAGCAAGCAGTAGGAGGCGTCCCTCAGCAAATGCGATAAAAAGAGATTGCTCTGGCCCGGTCACCATGCGACGGAGGAGTGATAGTACTAGCGCTGCATCAGATGGCTACAAAGGAGTCTTGTTCACCGATTCAGATGAAGATATCGAAGCTGATTTCAAATTAGACGGTACCAACGGTATCGAGGGCTCACGAGATTATCTCAATAGAACCATTTCTTCGGGATCGACTAATTGCCCACCCCCTCTCTCAACTGCTGCTGGCCCAGTTATTCCTTCAATTCTCCTTCAAGGAACCGTCATGATGAAAGTTTCAAGAAAGAAAAAGTTCAAACCTTTGACTCTAGTCCTAGAGAATGATGAAGCTAAGGTAACATGGGACAAGAACAGGCCTTCCAAATCCTTCTACATTGATGACATAAAAGACATACGAGCTGGAGTCGATGCCCGAAATTATCGTCAGGAGTTTGGCGTTTCTCCTGAAGATGAATCAAAATTTTTCTCAATCGTTTACGCCGTTCCTGATAAATCCAAAGGTCGCGCCCAAAAAATCATGCACTTAATTGCGCATGATGAACAGACTTTTGACTCTTGGACATCTACCCTTGATGCTATCTCTAAACATCGTCACGAGCTCATGGCTTCTCTGTCTTCATTTCACGAGAAGGCTGTCAAGCAATATTGGCGAACGGAGATGAATCGTAAATTTCACAATAGGCCTCACTTAAAAGAAGACGAAAAGATTGACTTTGTTGGTGTTGAGCGTCTATGTAAATCTCTACATATCAACGGTTCATCTAGCTATCTAAATTCTAGGTTTAGCCAAGCTGATATATCGGGATCTGGGCGTCTGAACTTTAGTGAGTTTCAAGAGTTTGTAAGGTTAATGAAAAGACGCGAGGACGTGCGTGCTATTTATCGTGAAATCGCGAGCGATCCTGAAAAGGGAATAACCATTAATGATTTCTTCAAATTTCTTTACCATACTCAAGGAGAACCTGTCGACACAGACCGGACGTACTGGGAAGGTGTCTTTGCAAAATTTGTCCGTCGGTCCAAGGCTAGAGATCAAGCTCACCAACAAACTTGTCAGAGTTCAGTCTCGTATATGAACGAATCGGCTCTCTCCAGCTTCCTTATCTCAACTCTTAACGTTCCCATGCACACTCAACCCCCATCATTCACACTAAATCGCCCTCTCAACGAGTACTTCATATCCAGCTCCCATAATACCTATTTACTTGGTCGTCAAGTCGCTGGTCAGTCAAGTATTGAAGCATATATTTCGGTATTGAGCCGCGGTTGTCGCTGTGTCGAAATTGATTGTTGGAATGGGAGTGAGGGGCCTGTAGTTATGCATGGAAGGACCCTTACCACCCAAGTATCCTTTGTAGATGTCATGTCTACAGTTAGCAAGTACGCCTTTGTCAAATCGCCATTTCCACTCTTCATCTCTCTCGAAGTTCATTGTAATCCCCCACAGCAGGCTATGATGGTGGAAATTATAAAAGCAACTTGCGGCGAAAAGTTAGTCACAGCGCCTATTGATCCGTCTGCGGAGAAGCTACCAACCCCGTCGCAACTCCTAAATCGTATTTTAATCAAAGTGCGGAAACCTAGAACCCTTGACGAAAGTACCTATACAGAGAGTACACGTCTAGATACTCGCCTTGGGAGAAATCGTGGCAATAGTCTCAACTCTCCATATACCCGTCCTACTCAACTCGATAATTCCACAGTTTCAGCTGGACTTTTGCCGCCCACATCATATCCACGTGCTAACCTCATGATGAACCAGAACCAGCTTCGCAGTCAAGCGAGTGAGTGTGTAGATAATCTCAGCACTAGCACAAGCGACAGCGAAGGACCCACAGAGGATACCATTCGTGCTAGAGAAAGTGTTCGAGTGAGCAAAACTAGCAACATTATCAAAGAATTAGGAGAACTTGGGGTTTATACCAGAGGGATTGGATTTTCCGGATATGACTCACCAGAGTGTAAGACGTACAATCACATCTTTTCCTTTATGGAGAGTACATTCAATAAGAACAGTAGAACCCCGGAAGATAAACACGCTATTGTCCGTCATAATATCCAGTATTTGATGCGAGTATATCCAAATGGATGGCGTGTGGCATCAACAAATTTCGATCCACTTAAGTATTGGCGCCGAGGTGTGCAGATGCTTGCTTTAAATTGGCAAACATATGATCTAGGTATGCAGCTGAATGAGGCTATGTTTGCATCGGGTACAGACTGCTCTGGATACGTCCTGAAACCAATAGAGCTTCGTGACGCCAAGTACTTACAGAGTGAAAAACTTGGCGCTGGCCGTGTAAAGCGTGAACGCAAGAACGTCACATTTTCCATTGATGTTATTTCTGCGCAGCAACTAATGCGGCCTAAAAACCTAGCACAAAATCGAAGTGTTGATCCTTACGTTGAGGTGGAGGTCTATCATGCCGATGATAAAAGTAAAGAGAATAAGGGCGTTGTAGGTGTTGGCGGCTTAGATGCCTCGGGTAAAGACGGATTTTCCAGTCTGGGGGTGCCTCACAGAAGACGAACTCATATTATTACGGAAAATGGCTTTAATCCGATTTTCAACAAAAAGTTCCGGTTCTCTCTAACAACTAAGTATCCAGACTTGGTCTTTATACGCTGGACCGTAAGATATTCGTCAGATGGGCACAATTATAATGAAAAGGGCGCTCCACTAGCCATCTACACTGCCAAGCTCAATAGTCTCAAGCAGGGCTATCGCACTCTTCCCCTCTATGACTCTAATGGCGATCAATTTTTATTCTCAACCCTATTTTGCCGTATCAATATAAAACCGATCACTAGTATCTACGTTAATGACCCAGGATCAGATGTGGGGGAGACTGTCGGAGTTCTAAAGACCATTGGTCGTTCAGTCTTCAATCGGAACCCAATTTAGCTGACATTTCACGACAAAAGTATTGCACAATATTAAATATCACGAATGATGACAATGTACATCCATATTTTTCTCAATGATATGCTCACGGTATCACGACATGTAAAAAATTTTCTCGTTTACCATCATTCGTTAACGACAAGTGCAAGATTATGAAATATCGACTCTGGCTTGTCGCTTTATCTTAGCCTCTCATATCTTTTCGTTGGTCATTTAACTTCTTGGACGGATTCTCTTGTTTTGGGTGGCGCATATAAGTGAACTGTTTGGACGGGACTCAGATGGGGTGTCTTGGCTTCGGGAAGACAAGCGGTGTGGCCCTAGCAATGCAGGCAAATGTTGTGGGATAGTTGCACTGCGTTTAACAACTCTTGCGTGCGTGTGGTAGTTTCTTTTAGATTGCTTGTCTGTAGGCAGTAGAGATTCATACCTTTGCAGAAGTAGGTCTTTCAGCATTCTTTAATCATCTCTTTGACGCATGAAGTGTGACTGCTCATTCTCTGGATATCAAAAGCTAAAGTCCTAGGATGGATATTTTCGGTACTACGAATTGCTATGGTGTAAAGGTGAGAAATTCTCCTAGGATCATTATCAATACGGAGACTTGAGCCCTTTCAAGAATGGCGTAGGACCAATAAATTTGAGTTGGGTCGGTGGAGATCCGGAACAATCAGGCCCCAACCCTCTAATGAAGTGATTATCTGACAATGGAGCCCAATGGCCAACAGGCACGCACAGCCCGGCCGAGTACGTCCATTCTTGCCAGGGTCCTCTAGATAACATGATATGGAGGATGGCCAGTGAGCTTTTGTTACCTTAGCCCCAACTCTGACAGTAGGAGTGACTAGTCTCAGGCCCATGCCGCACTTTGCATGAACAGGTCTACTTTCTACTTCTGGAGACGTTGTAGGGGCATTCCGCGACCACTTACATCGCTCCCTGCTACGTAGTGGGGGTCTTCATTGGCGCCGGCAGGCCATGAGGGAGCCGGTGGTATGGTGCTCGTGGGGGTGACACAGACAGGATGTTCGAGGCCTAGCAAAGTGGACCCTCTAGCGCGGGTAGATGGGGGTCGTCGTGCTAGCGGGCCCGGTAGTCGGGCTGCGGCTCCCGTGTCTCTCAAGTGGTGCCGATGATGCGCGCGCTCGGTATCTAGAGAGGAGGGAACGATGTCTGCTGTGCGCAAAGGACCGGTTGACTAGCTTTAGTGTCTCTGCCCGTACCTGCCAGGGTCGTCGATCGATGGAATGTTGTCTGCATTAGCTCACTGCCTGCATGAATGGAGTAGCTCCAAGGCCCCGCGATGCACTTTGGGCGGGCCGAGACGGGGTGGAATCTAGACCTTCTTCCGCCACACCCTCTTAGCCCGTAGCTGTGGCTTGACGCGCCCCTATAGATCATACGGGTGGACCGCACCCACCCCTGGATTCTGTGTGGCCGGATGCAGCATGCAGCGAAGGTTGGCGAAGAGAAATTAGCCAGCCGCACTTCCTCTGAGGCTTGGTGTTTCGGGCCCGGGCTTCACGAGAGTCTCAATGGCGCGGATGGGTTGTGCATCCCTCGCTCCGAACTCTACGGGACCCGTCTCACTCATGGCGAGAATATGAACTGCCAAAAATCTCTCATGGGGTCCAGCACTGTCCAAGTTCAGGGCTCACTTGGCGCGCAAGGAACCGCGCGAGGGGAATAGAATAGAATAGAATTAAATTTAAGTCCCTGCTGAGTCTATGACTATGAAGGACTGCTAAAAGTAGACAATAAACCACCAAAATTTACCTGTTTTTATATGTGCTGTTTTTTCAATCTTTTCCAATAGACAATGAGGGCTTAACCCTTAGCCGCGCGAGGGGAAATAACTAGGTCTAACGCATCGGGAAACGTGAGGTAAACTCTAGAAATACACAATCCAGGAGTCCTCGCCAACATCCATTCTCACATCGTTCTCGAGACTTGCCGTGTTCAAAGTGCGCTGACTCGGCTGCGGCTATGCCCTGGAATCATCGTCGGGAACTGCTTCCCCCAGCCCAGCTCTGCGAGATATCTACATGGTCTTGGGTGATACCGGTAGCACGGTGCCGCCAAGAACACTGCACGGCTGGAATATTCCAGATCCAAGAGAGCAGAAGTTGATCTCTCCTTTTACTTCACGTGACTCATCGACGGTCAGACCGCCCGGCACAGCTAGGCGGCGTGAGCACACGTACAAGTCTCGCAATCACACACAATTTAATGCTGAATCACGCCCTCCTGGGCTAATCTCTCCATATGGTTGAGCTACAAAAACACAACACTTGTCAGCGGTGTACTCTTCGAGCCTCCAGCTCCCAATGTGGAGTCTGCAGCGCCGAGATTGAGTAACACCTTTGTCCTCACTTTGATGGGGATCTCCATTCGTTTTCGCAGCCTACATCGTCTTCGTCTCTTAACACATTCCCCTAACACCATTATCATGATGCTAACCACGATCAGATCAGATGGTAGGGTCGAAGCCCTTTTCATCACCCATAAACTTCTCATGGTTATGATGGAGAAGCCATCCGAAGTATTTCCAGAGCGTACCCAGCACCCGATCCGGCGATGGTGGACTGGATCAAGTTTGCCTCCAATGTCATAAAGAAGGGAGATATATGTGCTAGATGGTCTATGACACAAGTAGCACAATAAATACACTCACTCGCTCACCAATTGGTGCCTCTAGTCGTTTAAAACCCTTGGTTAGATATGCGGCTTCGACGGTCAGTGTCAAGGTGGCCATCAGTTATTTGGCTCAGAAGCCCGCACCAAGCTACGCGCAGGGACTACCATATATTTCCATTACATTTAGACACTTGTCAAGTAATAGATAAATCTAAAAAGCAAGCAATCAGAATCGCCAGTCTTCACATACTTAACAGTTAATCTTAAGTTAGCATGACTCATAGCTCAGTAGAGCCAACCTAATGCTATATCAGCAAACACAGACCATCGTTTAAAGTTGTCCTTAATACATCACGCGCGGAACTGATCTTGGCTTGTGCAATACGCAATAGGATGCAGAGGAGTTAACTTCAAGGGGGCTGGCGTGAATTAATTCCCCAAGTAATATCATTCTCCAAGCCGTGGACTAAAGCTTCTAAATACTGAAATTAGTTGGTTTGTTCTCTATGCTATTAACTCGAAGTCGTGTTGTGCTATCAGACTATCGTGTCAGTGATTTTGAGCAACACTTATTGTAGGATTTTATCCTGGAATGACTTCAACTTGAAGCGAGCATGCGTTGGCTAGGAAATAATTAAGAACTTCTTGAGGCATGTAGACAAATGCAAGAGGGTGAGATGATTCGATTAACTCAACTTCCGCGATCACTTATCTACAACATGGAATTACGAGGACAAAAGTAGGCCATGTGTTCGGATAAAGATATCGACACAGCGTAACTATAAAATATCTCATCAAGTTATTGTGCAGATGCCAGCAGTAACTCTTTGGGTCTCCTGTCGAAATGATCGCCTAGAGCCAAGACTTTGTCATGACTTGTGAGAGCGTCTGGAAATCTTGTCATAGAGTCCTCAAGTGGCAGGGGTAAGGTAGGATCTTCGTTGTCTGAGGATTTCTCTGCGCGCAGATCCGTTGAAATCCATGCATCTTCAATCATCTCGGCCCCGGGCCACAAATAGGATTGTAAATCCCTCACCGTATTCTGATTATGCACTCTAACCATATTCCCAAAAGATTAGCTGTAAAAAAGGGCGTGAAGCATGTCCCATCCTTCCGCAAGTCTACAATCAAACACACCGACGGCAGCTCGGAATGGATGGATTTCGTAGATGAGGTTGTTTGGGTGGAAGTGCGTGGCAGACGTGTTCCGTGAGAGAATGGAGAACGATATCTGATGAAGTTCGGCAAGATTGAGTGGGCCAAACCCAGGAGTATGAAAGATTAGTTGGAGCTGGGGTAGGGCCAAGGGTAGTAAGAGAAGTGGTACTTTGTCCTATTGGAGGCGCCTGGGCCGGTAGGGCTGAGTGGCGGACTCTCTGAACACGGGGACCGCAGGCCGAAACAGCGGGATGGAACATTGTCTTTTCCGGAATAGCACGACATTTGGCCGCCATGACCACACGCCAGGTGTGATTTGTTTAGATAAGAATATGAATTAAATATAGATACGTATTGAGCCTAGGCCTGCGAAGGACTACTAAAACACTCTGAATAGCCTTAAAACTTAATGGGAAATTTTAATGTTGGTCTATTTAATATTCTGCAATAGATATTGAGGGTCATGCCCTGTTTGTGATTTGTTTTTTATACTACTTGAGTCTATGACTATCCTGCACATTAGGCTTCCTTCTGACCCAAGTCACACCTTGTGCAGTGCTCCTTGCCTCTTTTGTTTCTTGAGAGATCATTGATATATTCCCCTTGATGAATAGCCATTCAGCTCAGTGTTTACCCGTGGAATTCAGCCACTTTTCCACGAAATCTTCTACCCAGAGATATTAAGAATTGTACCGATGAAAACTGAGTGCGCGGGAAAAAACCTGTAGCCCCAGCCAGCCAGGCTAAGTCTAGACACCAGGACCAAATGAGGTGCGCATGTTCATCTATATCTCTCTCTGTTGTAACTTTAAAGGTCATCCTGATCCAGTCCACCATCGCCGGATCGGGTGCTGGGTACGCTCTGGAAATACTTCGGATGGCTTCTCCATCATAACCATGAGAAGTTTATGGGTGATGAAAAGGGCTTCGACCCTACCATCTGATCTGATCGTGGTTAGCATCATGATAATGGTGTTAGGGGAATGTGTTAAGAGACGAAGACGATGTAGGCTGCGAAAACGAATGGAGATCCCCATCAAAGTGAGGACAAAGGTGTTACTCAATCTCGGCGCAGCTGACTCTACATTGGGAGCTGGAGGCTCGAAGAAGATACCACTGACAAGTGTTGAGAAAATTATCCCTCGTAACATTTAGTGTTAGCTAGATTTCATTTTTATTCCATCACCGGCAACTAGACATAGTGG